AAAACAGAACACATCAGACCAATAAAAAGGAAAGTTAAAACACAATAAAGAGGGACATATTAAAGGGAAACAGCAATACATGTTCATAAATTATAGTATGTAATGTATTTATTCTTCACGTGAAATTTCATTGAAAATAACAAATCAACGCGGTGTCAACAAGTGAGAAAGAGACTTAAGTGAAGAGGAAGTGAAAGTAAACTTTCCAGCGTTTTTCTTTCCAAAAGTAAAGTTAATGAGGTTCGGTTTCTTTATTTAGGGTTTTTTTTTAATGTTTCCTTTTTTTAGTTTCTCAATTTTTATTCCCGGGATTTTGTTTTTCGATTTGTTATTCCCGAGCGGTGTCTGTTTTTTATGCAAAAGTCGCGGCCGCGATTCGCCGAAAAACTCAGATGCTAGATTAGTTCCTGAAGGGGTGCGGGAGGTACAGGAATGCTAACTTTGCCATTTTGACAGCAGAATGTGTTTCTCTCTTCTGTCTATCTTATGGCATTGCAATATTCACAGACGACACTGAATTCACCACAGTCAGGTGTCTGTAGAATCCATTCAACTTCAGTTTCACTAAAGGACTTTGCTTTGCACGCTGATGCCAACGTTGACCCATTCTTTCTTGACCAAGCACGCTCAATGTCTTCCTCCAGATTCTGACTACTAGTAGTATTAGAACATAAATTCTGATTGATAATCGCCTTTCTCCGTTTCCTCTCGCTTTCCCCACTGTTTCGTGGGTTTAAACAAACTATACGTTTAGAGTGCATCTTACTACATTATTAATTTTATTAACTGATATTCCATGGGCCAGTAGAAGCTGCTGAAGTAGAACTCTGTGGCACACACATGACAAAGTACAAACGCTAAAATTGCACAAACATGACAATACTCAAAAACCGAAGTTCTGTTCTTGATAACTACTCCAAAAAAGTAGAACTCTTTATCACACCCACGACAAAGCACAAATGCTAAAATGCCACGAACATGACTAAGCAAAAGACCGAACTTCAGGTCTTGCCAACTACCCACACACACGACGAATCACAAATCCAATCGGAAGTAGGGCCTAGTCCGCGTTAAAATATGAAAAGGCTAATGGCAGAGTGAAAACATCTGAGAGCTTCGATTTAAAGGAAAAAATCATCAAACCTAAAAAATCGAAAGGTAGTTCCCGAACTTTGAAAATATGCCAGTGTAACCTTTTGTGACAATTTTTAACTGAATAATATTTTGTAGATTTTATGTACACCTGCGTAAAAAAATTACCTCACAAACGGGCTTAGCTCCATTATAATAAGATGATGATGATGATAATAATAATAGTAGTAATAATAATAATAATAATAATAATAATAATAATAATAATAATAATAATAATAATAATAATAATAATAATAATAATAACAATTACTGTAATAATAATGATAGTCATAATCATAATTGTGGTCATAATTATCATTATTATTGTTATTATTATTTTTATTAATTTTTAAATATAATTATTATTATTATTATTATTGTTAATGATGATACTACTACTACTACTAGTAGTAGTAGTAGTAGTAGTAGTAGTAGTAGTAGTAGTAGTAGTAGTAGTAGTAGTAGTAGTAGTAGTAGTAGTAAGACGATGATGATGATGATGTTGATTACTACTACTGCTCTTATTAATAAAAAGAAAAAGGAGCTTACTAAATACAGGACAGGGGGAAATTAAGGTGTGATGTGAGCACGATGTCTTCCTACCCTCATTAATTTAGTCTTAGTAAAAGTTCTAAGGGACTCGCAACTCAATAAGGTCAAATAGTCATGTCATGTTCAATTCCCTTGAAGTTGAAAACTGGATCTGCGCACTATGGACGCCAGCTTCAACACTACATTCTTTATCTCGGAGGGGGGCAGGGGCCCCTTCTTTATTGCCGCGGGGAATGAGCTTCCAACCCCCCGGGTTTGGCCTTGCCTTTTCCTTTCCTCACAATTTGAAAAGAATCACTCCTTTCACCCTGGGGGGGGGGGGGGGGGGGGGGAGGGCATTGACACTCAGCAGTCTTGATCAAAGGCTCTGCAGCGTGGCTCTACGTTCCTGTACGTTACACGCAGTTACAAAAAGACAGTAGATCCTGCTCTCTAGCAGCAACCTGTATAAGACAGTTACTTTAATAAACAGCCCTTACCTATCGTTCTGCCTCCTCCCCCCTCCACCCTCACCCCCCCCCCCAACCCACCCGCCGTATCCTCCGCTTTTGCTTGGGGTTTTTTTCGAGGGTGGGGTCGGTTTTATTTTATTTGTTTTGTTTTTTTCGGGGTGTTTTTGCTTTTACATTAAAAAGACGGTGCTTAAGACTCCCACCTGTCTAAGGTGACCGCTTTTCTCATCGACAATGGGTGGCCGTCTCAGATTATTTCGACTGCACTTCCCTCCACAATAAAAAGCGAAGGCACGTCGTTCTCTTCTCTGAAATGTTTTTTGTTTGTAAAGCGGATACTATTCTCTTTGGGCCTTTTAATTCGCAATTCCACATAATATTGTCTACACAGGAAACTCGAGTTTGATTCCAGAGTGGGGAAAAATTTTGATCAAGTAGGCCTATCTCGAAAATCTTTTTATTGGAATGCTGTATCCCTTTCAGCCTGCTTTGGCCCAGACAAGCAGGGTCGGAAGCCAGCCTCCTAAATGAACTAAATCGTGTCGATGGGGGCGTAAAAACACATACATTTGAAACAAAAAAACAATAAGAGGCTTGAACACTTCGTTTTACTCTCTAAAACGTTTTTGTAGGTAATGCAGATGCCACACTCATTTGGCATGTCTTCTCCCCCCTCCCCTTCTCTCTCTCTCTCTCTCTCTCTCTCTCTCTCTCTCTCTCTCTCTCTCTCTCTCTCTCTCTCTCTCTCTCTCTCTCTCTCTCACTCTCACTCACTCACTCTCTCTCTCTCTTTCTCTCTCTCTCTCTCTTTCTCTCTCTCTCTCTCTCTTCCTCTATCTCTAAGTCTCCAATACATACATATATATTTGAGCCAGAAAATTAATAGGGGGGGGGGGGGGGGGGGGGGTTTTGGTTTTATTTAAACACATGTACTTTGATTTTCTCATCGTTTGTCTGTCAGTCTTATTTTCTTCCCCGTGCGCTAAATGACCATTACTGTGTCGCTGTGCTTCTATTTACCCAAACAAGCAAACAAAATGTATAAGCAAACAAAAATAATAATAATAATAATAGATAGCATTTGTATAGCGCATATCCCCGCTCAACAGCAGGCTCTATGCGCTTTACACTATATTATTATTACCCCAGCAGACCATAGAACACTCCGAAACATTCTCAGCTTCCCGGGAAGCATACAGTGCAAGCAGCTGATTAAGCGCTCAAACACTAACAAACTGACAAGATCTTTCGCTGTCTATAGCCAGGTACCCATTCCCACCTGGGTGAAGTGAGGAAAATTCGTGTAAAGTGCCTTTCCCAAGGACACAACGTCGGGCCCCTGACGGGATTCGAACCCACGACCTAACAAACAAACAAACAAACAACATGCACCAGTCATGTCATGTCCAAATCTTGTGAGGTAGTAAAATGGATCTTTCCACTATCGATGGGCGTCAACTAAAACTTTACATTCCTTATCCCGAAAGTTACGAGCCTTACTCTAACCTGAAACTCACCACTGTGACAATCCACCCGCAATGACTCTGCATTCTTCAATGTTTTGAAAAAACCGAAGGCTCAAAGATATACTTTTTAACTTGCGGATAGGAAAGTCCTATCAAGTACGAGCTGTGAAGGAATATAAATTTAGGATCAAGTCCTTAGTTGAATAGCATTTCTTGAACTCCACAACGGACAGAGTGTGAGAGATTGAGCGAGAGAGAGAGAGAGAGAGAGAGAGAGAGAGAGAGAGAGAGAGAGAGAGAGAGAGAGAGAGAGAGAGAGAGAGAGAGAGAGAGAGAGAGCCCTTGAGTCTGTATCCTACAATTCGACTGCAGGGACGATTGCAAGATTCGGTACTGCTTTTCTAAGACATCGCCTTTCACATGTTGTAATTGTTTGCTCCAATGTCTTGTTCGGGGTCCATGTTTGGCATTGATAGGTGAGTGTTGGGATGAATATGGCGTTGATCATTTTGAGTTTTGTTGAAATGGGGATGTTAGGATGTTTCAGTAGTGGAGCAAGCTGGTAACAAACATTATTGGCCTTTTGTACTCGTGTTTCAATTTCTCTGTTCAGTCACCCTTCCTCTGTGAATATACATGTACTTCCAGGTACTTAAACTCTAAGACCTGTCTGAGACTGTTGTTGTTGAAGTGATTCCTGAGTGGTCCTGGATTTCTGCTTATTTCATTGTCTCTGTTTTGTTGATGTTGATCTTCATGTCGTAGTTGTTACACTCTTCGTTTAATCTGGAGGTGTGGGGTTGGAGACTTCGTTCATCTTTGTGTGCCAGGCGTCTGGTTCTGTGTTGGCCTCTTTGGTAATTCTATATGATAAATAGTAGTGGTGATAGGATACAACCTTGTCTTACTTCGGATGTTTTCTTGAACTATTCTGTGAGTTCCTCTGACGTTCTTCCTGTACTTATGCTGTTCTCGTAAATGGCACGGATGTTATCTAGAAGTTGGACTCTTAGAGTGTAGTTTTCGAGTTCTTTCCACAGCTTGTTTCTCTTCACTCTGTCAAACGCTTTCTCCTGGTCGACAAATACTATGTTTAGTTCCCTGTTGTGTTCTATTGCCCTTTTGCACATTTGCTGTAGGGTAAATAATGCGTCAGTTCATCCTCTTTCCTTTCTAAATTCCATTTGGCCTCACCCAGAAAGGGTTCAACCTTGTGTCTTGTTCACAATTCCAATATCTTGACGAACATCTTTCCCACATGGCTTAGCAGTGAAATGCCTCTATACATTCCAGTCTCTCTTACTGCCTTTCGTCTTTCAGACTGGTGCAACGACCGCTTTTTTCCCGTCGGCGGGATTTTTTCTTTTTGTCCTTGCTTTCTAAAAAATGTTTGTGAGCCAACTTATTCCAGTTTCATCACAAGCCAGGATGGTCTCCGTGGTTAGCTTGTCTGTTCCTGCGCTTCTATTTTCTTGGGCTGGTTTTAACTGCTTGTCTGACCTCTGATGGTCGGATGGTTGGTTCTTCTTCCTCTTGGTGACTTAGTTGGAATTGTTTATTTGTTTTTGAGTGGTGTTCAAAAGTTCTGAGAAATGTTCCCTCCATCTAGATTCGTAATCCTTTAACGTTTCCAAATTGTTATTCGTCTATGTCAGTCCGTTTCTTTCTTCTATTATTTTCTGTAGAAATAAATAATCCACTGCCGACTTGCTAGCCCTGTCACATTTTCACCAGATCCTCGTTAGCCTGCAACTTTTCGGAGTGACCTGGGTTCTCTTTCACGGCTAGCGTGACGCCTCTGCGGCATAAAGCCAACCGTACTTCGTTGGACCCAGCAATCCTTTACTTTGTCCAGTTTTCACCTCCCGGGCCGGGGGCCTGGTTTTGACTTTCGGAGGCCACTAGGACCGTCAAGACGCAAAGAGCTATAATAACTTTCTGTCAGCAAGCCCTGTTTTTTCTTCCCATACTTTACTATACTATGGGGAGATGCAGTTGTCAAACGTGGGCCAGTTTGTTGCGTTTAGGATCGTCTTGTTGTTCCTTTGGAGGGTCTTTTTGACCCTATCGATCTGTCTTTTTCTTTGTATTTCTTTCGCTTTGAAGCCATCCGATTTCATATCATTGGCATTTGATGACGGAATTTGTAGCCTTAGTAAATGCTCGTTTTCTTAGAAATGTCTAGCATTATAGTTCACACACCTCCGCCCCCTTTTATCCAACCTTCTTGTTCCCCTCTGGTTTTAACATTTCTTCATTGCTTTTTCTTCTTCTCCAGGCAAGTAACTTCAACTGTTCGAAACCAATCACAACCATGGCCCTTCCTGCTACTGCTAAGCAAGTCACCGTCACCAAACGTGGTCTCAACTATCGCGAATGCACAGAAATCAGGAATGTCCCCGTTCCCAATCCGCAAGCTGGCCAGGTGTTGGTGAAGAACAAATTCGTGGGCATCAACGCCACTGACGTCAATATTAGCTCCGGTCGCTACTTTGTCGACCCCACACTGAAACCGCCGTTCATTGCTGGCCTGGAGGGGATTGGACCAATCGTCGCCGTCGGTGAGGGAGTGACCAATCTGAAAATAGGTCAAGCCGTCGCCTTCCTCCAGTACGGTACCTTCGCGGAGTACGTGATAGTTCCAGCTGACATTGCCGTCCCAGTCCCGTCTACCGACCCCAGCTTTATGTCTATCGTGATCAGTGGACTGACGGCGTCGGTTGGGCTGGAAGAAGAAGGGGATCTGAAAGCTGGCAAGACAGTCCTGGTGACCGCTGCCGCAGGGGGGACTGGTCAATTCGCCGTGCAGATCGCCAAACTGGCCGGGTGTCACGTGATTGGGACATGTTCCAGTCCCGAAAAGGCGGACTTCCTCAAAAGCATCGGCTGTGATCGCGTCATCAACTACAAGAAAGAAAGCTTTCGGGAAGTTATAACTAAAGAATATTCGAACAAATTAGACGTTGTCTATGAATGTGTTGGTAAAGAAATGTTTGACGTCTCTTTGCAGAATCTGGCAATCAAAGGAAGATTGATTGTCATAGGGGCCATTTCTGGGTACAAAGACGCCGAGGGCGCCAACGCTAGTGAATTGATACCGAAGGTGCCAGTAGGCATGGAAATTGTCCAAAAGTCGGCAAGTGTCCGTGGGTTTCTTCTGCCTCTCTTTCCTGAAAAGATCCCTCTCCACATTGCCACTTTGGCTAAACAGTTCGCAGAGGGCAAGATTAAAGTGACTCTAGACAAAGGGGAAAATGTTGCAAAGGGGCCCTTTAAAGGGCTAGAAAAAACAGCTGACGCTGTCGAGCATTTGTACTCAGGGAAGAACATTGGTAAGGTTATTGTGGAACTTTGAAAAGTCCATTCAAACAAATGTGCCCTTTTTAGAGAGAAAAAAAGCTTCCAAAAAGATCAAACTAGATCAGTTGGCTGTACCTAAAACTAAGGAAACAGCAATGCACTTGCTTTGATAAATTCTGTTTTGAGTTCGTGAGAGACAAAGGAAATATGCACTATAATATACTTTATTTAATTTTACTTTAAGATTTCCGACCTATGTTACCTTAGTGTCGATGGCCTTTCTCTTGTTTGTTGTATCGACTATAGCACAGTTTGTCTAATGTTTCTCTGAACCGCTCTACCCATCTTCTCTCGGACCTGATCCTTCCTGAAACCATCTAATCTCTGTTTGTATGCTCTCCCTGCTATACTTTCTGGTGGCAGTCTCGGCAGATTCTAAGCAGGGAGTCTAGCCATTTTTTTAAAAATTGTACATGTATTCATTTTTGTTGTCGCGTGTCCCTTTTTCGGGTGCCGTGTTAGTGTTAGTGGCCTGATTCGTTTCAGACAATCATCGACTAAAACAATTTCCCTAGCTTTGTCTCTTATTCTAGTTCTGCCCCCCCCCCCCCCCCACACCTCCCCCAGGCTGTCTTGGGGATGGGATGCATACAATCTCCTGGCCCGTAGTTACCAAATTTTGGAACTATTTGTGTGTCACTGACCTTATCAAATAACAAATGTATGCCACAAATATCACATGAGGGTCATTTTTAAGTCGAACTAACTCTTTTTCGTTTCTCACCCTTTCTCTTTTTATGATGTCCATCTTATTAGTATAAGTATTATTATTATTCTGATTATTATTATTCTGATTATTATTATTATTATTATTATTATTATTATTATTATTATTATTATTATTATTATTATTATTATTATTATTATTATTATTATTTTATTTTTAAAAATTATTATTATTATTATTATTATTATTATTATTATTATTATTGTTGTTGCTGTTGCTGTTGCTGTTATTGTTGTTTTTATAATCATTTTTTCCTGCAACCATGAAAACCTCGATCAGGACTCCTGCAACCATGAAAACCTCGATCAGGACACAGTGGGGGAGCTTGAACGTTCCAAGGTTTATGATTATTCAAGTTTCTCTTATTACTTTCAAAATCCGTCAGTTTTGGGTTTGAGAACGGAATATTTAGTTTTTACAGAAATGGCATTTTTCATGTAGAACATTTTTACAACTTTTGAATATAATATAATGAGAAATTTGGGACCATTCCAGTTTTGGGTTATGCTGCTGGTATTGTGTTGAGCATCACCCCCAACAGTGTGTTTCATGCGGGGAGGGGTGGGGGGGTTGGTGGGGTAGGGTTTTTTTGTTTCTTGTCGTTTTCTTTTTGTTTTGTTTTGTTTTGTTTTTGTTGTTTTTTTGTTTTTTTGGTGGGTTTTTAAAATCCGAAATAAAGACAGTTTTTCAAAATGCTTGTTTCTCCCTGTTTATTTTGAGCTCACTGCTTGCCTGCAAGTGGTAGTTCTTGTTTAATTTTACAGTCATCATCATCAGCAAAAGCACCATGATAACAATAATTATAGAACAATGATATGAGTCTCTGGTAACACAATTTAAAACATACTATATAACTTGTGAAATCTCGATAGCGGCTAGTACCGTGGAACTCGGATTCAACAAAGTCGTCGGGCCTGGCCTTCAATTTTGTTGAATCCGAGTGTTCGTTATAGCAACTATGAGGATTTTGTGTAGATAATTACACGCACCGAGCAAGAAATGTATTACATATTCGACTTTCTCTAGCTAAAGTTGTTTGGTTTCAAATTAGAGGCATTTTTGTTTCCTTGATACCGAAGAATTGCTGGAAAATTCCAGGCAATTTGGATCGAACTCTACCAAGCACCAGGGGCGAAGCGTCTATATAATCAAATAATCACTGCTTCCCTTCCTAATTTTGAAACATTGTCGCTGTCAAATTCATCCATAAACGTAAACCTCTTAAATTAAATGTCAAAAAACGTTCGTAATCAACAATGAACAGTATGCCTAACATTCAAAACGGTTTCACGGCCACAGAAATAGCCTCCTCAGTGACTCCTCACCCCTCTCGGGCCACTCCATAAGCAGTCGCAAGCTTTGATTAAGTAAGCTTAAAGTGAGGCTGGAAGAGTCCACCAATTTAGTTGAAGGGAACATGTGCATAGCAGTCTAAGCTGTTTCATTGCCACATATTCCCTGTTCACCCCTTTGAGGTCACAGTTAAAATCAATCTCAAGCCCTGATTATGTAAGTTAACTAACACTGGTCGAGTCTACCTCACAAATGTGAGGGGAACTAACTCCTAACAATCTCTTCACTGTTGCAAGTAGGCCTACTTGCTTTTTTTCCTCGACTTTTTACCATCCTATAATCAGATCGTGACCTCGATTATGACACCAGCTCCTGGCCGCGGAAGGCTAACAAAAACAGCCAAATGTAAAATTTTAAAAATGATAATTGTCATGTTCTACCAAAGAGTTAGACTCACTGGTAGATCTATAACATATAGATCTAGTACTGACGTCTCTGCTTCTTTGCTTTGTGTTTATGTATTCACATCTAAAGTTAAATTTAATTTTAGTTGGAACTGATATTTAATAAGATACTTTCCCGATTATTTTGGCGGTTGCACATACAATATGAATTCCGGATTTGTTTTCATTCACAACTCAGAGTCGCCGCCTCGAGTAAGATTCTTGTGTCATATATACAGGCCATATCTGGTCCCGTTTCACTTTGATTACCCTGTCAAACAAGTCAGCCTTCGCCCCTGCCAAGCACACATTGTACAAAAGGGCTGATTCGTCCAAATGCACGCCTGCGTTATCTATTATCTATAATTCAAACTTAAAATGTATTGTCAGCCGAACAAGTCTTAATGCTGTGAAGAGCCTAGCATACGGCAATGTTTGATTCCACAGTCCAGCGTGCAATTCATTACGTAGATATAATATGTCAAGACTAGCTTACCATTGTAACATTAATAAGTAGCCCATAAAAAACAAATGTGTGGCGTTTGTATCTCTACTAACGTTCTACGCCCGGAACGCTTGTGCCCCACCCCACCCCTCCCAATACACACGCACACACAGCCACACGAGTACTGCTGGCTACCCGTCCGACCCCGACACACAATAAGCAAGACATGTGTGCGTGCTAACAACGTGTGTAAATGTATAAAAGGAGGCCACTGATTTGTGGCATAAAGTAGTGCACCCTACAAGCGACTTTGTTGAATCCGAGCTGGCTGATTTGTGTGTTCGTTGAATCTGAGTTATTTTAATTGACTTTTAAGACTTAAACAATCCGTGTATCCAACATCTTTTGTTGAATCCAAGCTTTCGTTGGATCCAAGCTTTCGTTGAATCCAAGTTTGTTGAAACCGAGTTCCACAGTACTTCTAATTCATAGCACACTCATTTTCATTATGCGATGTGCATGTCAAAATATCATCGTCATTGATTGTGCACAGGCGTCTGTGGTGTAGGGATTACGATGATTCATAGTGTGGAGAATTTGTATAGTGTAACTCGGTCTTTCTCCTGAGATGTTGTACATGTATCCCTCTCAGCCCGATTTGGCCCCGACAGGCAGGTTCGGAGGTTCGTCTCCTATGTGATCTAAATAGTATCGATAGGGGAGTAAAAACACCTACATAAAAAACAGTAAGAAACACCATCAAAGATCAGGGACTTTTGCATCCAGGCAATCAAATACGTCCTCTTGTAACACGATCCCAACTGCAAGAAACATGAGGACGCCGATCATACGCTTCCTCTCTTTGGTAAGAAAAGATAGCGGTGGTTGATGGGTGCTCTGAATCTGATGTGGTTTGCTTCTTCTTTTCTATCAATCAGCTATCGTCCTGATCTCTTCTCCTCCTTTTCTGTGTTTGTTACTTTCTTGTAACACCTCTAATATTTGGCCCTTGTACTCTGACCTTGTTGTGTTGCAAGTGCTGTTAAATCTTCATTGAAACTAAACGAAAAGGATAAAAACAGAGAGGCAAAGAATTGACAGCGAAGAACATTTTTGTGAAAGCTAATTTATTATTTCGTAACAGGTATAACAAAGATCATACATGTATAGATCTATTAAATTAGATAATAATTATTATTAAATCTATCCTTTCCATCTGGATTTTCTTACCAGGAACCGGTAGCCTTACTTTTGCTGGGATCTGAGTGTTCCGTGAGAAGAAAATAACATATAGTGTCCATAACACATTTTCAACTTTGACAATCTGATTTTGGGGGGGGGGGGGTCTTTTTGTTTTGTTTTGCTTTGTTTGTTTGCTGTTGTTGTTGTTTTTTCTGCTGTTTTTGTTGAGTGTTTGTTGTTGTTGTTGTTGTTGTTGGGGGGGGGGGGCGTATTTGTTTTTTCAAATTTTTGTGTTAAGACACGATGGAATCAGGCGCTCGTCAATTTTTGGGCATATGTTACATTTATAGTTATTGCTTTATTCTTTAAGCTTGTTCATTAGTCTTGCTTTGGTGAAAATTACTCGTATATCTAGAATAGAGGTCGATGTTACCGATTTAAGAAGGTTTGGGTGGGGGGCGCGTTTTTTCGCGTAATTCTGCAACATTTGCATTATTTTGGATTCGCCGCGTTTTTTCACGTTTTTTACCTTTTTTATCACAAAACAATTAATTAACGCCTCGCCATGTGACTAAAGGGAAATAATCACCGTATTAAGTCTCAGTTAAGTAAAAAGTTGGTTATTTCCCTTGTTAGAAGATCTTGGTTATGGGTTGGGATTTTGATCCTTGAGCATGTTCAATTTTGCAATCTATCAAAAGTTGTTGTTCTCATGTCTGCTGATGTTTCACGTTTGATAGGTTTCATGTTTGACAGGTGTCCCTCGTATTAGTAATGTGCCAGCATCAGAGGTCCAGGTGTCCTTTTTTTTTTTTTTACATTTTCCTTACCTCTATAGATCTAGATCTAGATCTACAGCTGAAAGTTACAGAGATTATATTGGGGAGGGGGGGGGGGGTTCTTACTGAAGTGTATTTTTTTTTTCCAAATACACAACAAATTAGTGATACTGATATGTTGTGTTTTTAATTTTTCTGTACATAAAACATGAAAATCATGAACATTTGTGTTGAAAAAGTGCAAAACATGTCGCGAATGGTGTTACGGTAACTTGCATAATTTTTGCATAATTTGGCATTTTTTGGACATAATTTGGCCATCTAAATTTCCATAATTCTACGGGGACCCGCCAAAGTGTGG